ACTTTGAATTTTTGTGACTAACGTGACTAAAATGCCTAAAAGCAGCACTGTCAAGAAATGACTGTATGTTGTGGTTTAGGTGTGCCAGCGGCTGCTGCTCGTGTTGTGGAGCTGTCCCAGAGCCGTGTGTCGATGTCGCTGCGCTCAGATCAGTTGTCGGAGGTCTGGACGGTGGATTACGCTCTGGAGCTGCTCCTGCTTGGCGGCCTGATGCCTGAGGCTGTGTGGATGGCACAGCGTCTGGGAGACTGGAAGATGGCCGCTTCCCTCAGCCTGGCCTACAGCAGATACTGCAGCAGCCGGCTGGACTTCAGCAGGTGTGTACCTATAATTAAAATACAATCAGTTAAATAGACTTTGGCATTCATTTAGTTGCTCAAGCGTAAAACGAAACAAATGACTGTTTACCCGTCAGAATCGGCAGGCCAGCGCAGAAGCTCCATTGAATATACTGGGGTAAAATAAAGGCTCATATTATAAAGACATGGCGGGGGAAATGTAATGTAATGCAGTGCTTCTTGTACAATCTGAGACCTACTTTATGTCGGATATCACTCAGCCCGTGGAGATCGCTGATTTTTAAAGAAAACAGACCTTAAATGCGCCAATTTTGCATTGGCATACAGTTCACCAGAAGCGCTTAACCCAGGTTACTGGCAAATTAAAAGCATGCTTCGGCATATCCCCTATTTGTTTGCAGCTTTTTTCTAATGTCAGCCATTTGGTGGGTTTGCGTTTGTTGTGGTTTTATCTCTGTGCTGTCCTGTTGTGTTCCTGCAGGCTGCAGTGGAGGGAGCTGCATCTTCCCTCAGAGCTGAAGCCTGCTGAGATCTTCCAGGAGCAGCTGGAGGTCCTGCTGAGTCCAGCGCTGGAGTCTGAAGGAGAGACGCACTCTGGTCAACATTAGACATTTATTAATTTATATTATGTAGAAATCATTAAATATGCAATGCAATGTAATATAATATTGAAAAAATTTTTTTTATATATATATATATATATATATATATATATATATATATATATATATATATATATATA